GTTCAGGAGAGCTGTCTGTATTTTAAAGACGCCTTATTGAGGGCGCAGGAACAAACCATCCCGAAGTGCAGAAAGAATAGCAAATATGGCAGGCGACCAGCTTGGCTTAACAGTGAAATCTTCGGTGAGCTTAAATACAAAAAGGAAGCTTCGAAGAAGTGGAAATTTGGATAGATGACCAGGGAGGAGTATAAAAATATTGCTAGAGCATGCCGGGGTGGAATCAGGAAGGCCAAGGCACAATTGGAGTTGCAGCTAGCAAGGGATGTGAAGGATAACAAGAAGGGTTTCTACAGGTATGTTAGCAACAAGAAGAAGGTCAGGGAAAGTGTGGGACCCTTACTGAATGGGGGAGGCGACCTAGTGACAGATGATGTGGAAAGAGCTGAAGTACTCAATGCTTTTCTTGCCTCGGTCTTCATGGACAAGGTCAGCTCCCAGACTGCTGCACTGGGCAACACAGTTTGGGGAGGACGTGACCAGCCCTCTGTAGTGAAAGAACAGTTTAAGGACTATTTAGAAAAGCTGGACGTGCACAAATCCATGGGTCCAGATCTAATGCATCCAAGGGTGCTGAGGAAGTTGGCGGATGTGATTGAAGAGCCATTGGCCATTATCTCTGAAAACTCGTGGCGATCGGGGGAAGTCCCGGATGATTGGAAAAAGGCAAATATAGTGCCCATATTTTAAAAAGGGAAGAAAGAGAACCCTGGGGAACTACAGACCGGTCAGCCTCACTTCAGTCCCCGGCAAAATCATGGAGCAGGTCCTCAAGGAATCCATTTTGAAGCACTTGGAGGAGAGGAAGGTGACCAGGAACAGTCAACATGGATTCACCAAGGGCAAGTCATGCCTGACCAACCCTGATTGCCTTCTGTGATGAGATAACTGGCTCTGTTGATATGGGGAAAGTGGTGGATGTGATATATCTTGACTTTAGCAAAGCTTTTGATACGGTCTCCCACAATATTCTTGCCAGCAAGTTAAAAAAGTATGGATTGGATGAATGGACTATAAGGTGGATAGAAAGCTGGCTAGATTGTCGGGCTCAATGGGTAATGATCAATGGCTCAGTGTCTAGTTGGCAGCCGGTATCAAGCAGAGTGCCCCAGGGGTCGGTCCTTGGGCCAGTTTTGTTCAACATCTTTATTAATGATCTGGATGATGGTATTAATTGCACCCTCAGCAAGTTCGCAGATTACACTAAACTGGGGGGAGAGATAGATAGGCTGGAGGGTAGAGATAGGGTCCAGAGTGACCTAGACAAATTGGAGGATTGGGCCAAAAGAAATCTGGTGAGGTTCAGCAAGGACAAGTGCAGAGTCCTACACTTATGAAGGAAGAATCCCATGCACCGCTACAGGCTGGGGACCGTCTGGCTAAGCAGTAGTTCTGCAGAAAAGGACCTGGGGATTACAGTGGACGAGAAGCTGGATATGAGTCAGCAGTGTGCCCTTGTTGCCAAGAAGGCCAATGGCATATTGGGCTGTATTAGTAGGAGCATTGCCAGCAGATCGAGGGAAGTGATTATTCCCCTCTATTCGACACTGATGAGGCCACACCTGGAGTATTGCGTCCAGTTTTGGTCCCCCCACTACAGAAGAGATGTGGACAAATTGGAGAGAGTCCAGCAGAGGGCAACAAAAATGATTAGGGGCTGGGGCACATGAGTTACAAGGAGAGGCTGAGGGAACTCATGTACCTGTCCTATTTAGTCTGCAGAAGAGAAGAGTGAGGGGGGAGGTTTAGGTTGGATATTAGGAAAAACTTTTTCACTAGGAGGGTGGTGAAGCACTGGAATGGGTTACCTAGGGAGGTGGTGGAATCTCCATTCTTAGAGGTTTTTAAGGTCAGGCTTGACAAAGCCCTGGCTGGGATGATTTAGTTGGGGATTGGTCCTGCTTTGAGCAGGGGGTTGGACTAGATGACCTCCTGAGGTCTCTTCCAACCCTAATATTCTAGGATTGTATGATTCTTCTTTCGGGCTTGTCATTGGAGGCCCAGCAGTCTATACAGGAGCTCCCCTTCGACAGCCAGGTGCTGTTTGCTGAGCAGACAGACAATAAATTACATGGGTAATTTGTGTTGATGGGAGACCTCTCTCCCATCGGCATAGCCGATCTGGTGGCTGATGTAGCGCTGTAGCGTAAACTTGCCCTAAGACTGATCCGAAGACCTATCCCTGAGGAACTGCACTAGTAACCTCCCTTCAGCCTGACCCGTTGTAGTCTCCCCTTTAACCAGTTCCTTATCCACCTTCCAGAGTTACACTCCTGAAGCTATCCTTCTTATACCCATCCTGTTTACAAGTAGAAAGGTCTTGTGTGCATCATGTGAAACTAGATTGAACCGTTCAGCTTTCTACCTTGTTTTTCTGGTACGATGGTGTGCCCCTTCTCTCTTTACTCTGAACACATACATTCCAGGTACTACAGGGTGGAAAGGCATCTCCTAGGTTCATACCAACGTAGAGCAATCATATATCTTGTCTTTTTTCCTTTGGGACATTCCAGTACTGGCCACTGAGCATAATCCCTGCCTGCTGCTATGGTATGTCCTGATCCTGACAGTTTTCCTATCCACTAAGCTAACGCAAGGTGTTGTGGGATGCTTACCATGGCTGAACAGAACTGTAGGGTGAGTAGAATAACTTCCCAGCCCTCAGGCATTAATACGAGGCCTGACCAATATGGATTGGCTAACAACTGCGTGCCCTAGAATCACTGTTGGCATTTCAGTATTGCCAATGGTAACCTGCTGGCTGGGAAAGAATGTCCCTGCTTGTGGAACGCCAACAGATCCCAGTCGTCAGCGGGCAGGATCGAACCTGGGATCTCTGGAGCTAAATGCATCTCTCTCTCTCTCTCTCTCTCTCTCTCTCTAAGTGGTCTTGGTGCCACTAGATGGGACAGAACACCACACCCAGGAGGTGTGTGGGTTACACTTGCAGCTTTCTGAACAGTTCTATGTTCTTAAAGATGCGAACTGTGACAAAGGGGGAGTATTTTGTAATATTTCTATGAGTCCTGGTTGTGCCTCAGTTTCTCTGGCATGCTGCATTGTTACCCAGTGAGTGGAAGAGAACTGTTTGCTCTCCGGCAGACTGAGACACGTAGGTCTGGGTGTCACCAGCTGCCTGGGCCATATTCTCCATATCAGTGGAACATCTGGAAGACAATGGCAAATCCAGTCACCAGGGCATTTATCTCTAGCAAGCAATGCTCTAGAGGGAGATGGACTTCCCCACCTCTCCTTAAGGAAGCTGAACAACATTTCCCAGCTTGAGATAAGGGCTGGGAAGGTGTGAGGTGGAGGATAAGAGTGGGCAACTGGAAGGAGGCGGCTCTCACCTGGAGGCTGATGAAGGAGATCAGACGGAGCTTGAACCAAGGGGTTCCCAGCAGCGTGGCTGGGCTCTGGGCTAGCCAGAATGGATGATGCTTTAACCTTCAGTTCTCTAGACTCCCCTAAGGACTCCCTGTGCTGTGTGCTACTTAATGAATAAATTCGACTGTTTTGACAATGCTGTGTGAGTGCCACTGCAGATGCTGGGTGAAGTGTGTTAATCCCTGAAGAATGTACAAGGCTCCCTCATGAGTCTGTCTCAGTTGGACTCACTGAACGGAGCTCAGGGTGTGAAGCGGGAGTGGTGAAGGCCAAGAAGTCTAGTCTAAGAAGGTGGTGAAGCTGTGTGGCTCGCCCTGGAGGCTGAGTGAGACCCCTGGGGTCTGGGACACAGAAGGGGTCTTCCCGGAGACTGTAGCACCGATCCTGTGGATCCGTGACATGAATGTCCTGCGCCTTCCCTGACCAGCCCACATGGATGTCAGAGAAGCATCCCCAGTGATCCACGAAGGTCTGTTAAGGTTCTATGTGGGGAGGTGGCCTGGTGCCAAAACAGGGGTGTGCATGCCACCTAGCACCCCACCACGTTTGGAAACCCCACAGAGAGCAAGGAATGTGGCCTTTTGTATCCTGCTCAGCATCCCAAACCTGTGTTACGATATAATTCCTTCAGTCAGTGCTCCTGTCTCGGGCCCAGAAGCATCACACCACCGTTTGCAGTTGTCCTGTGAAAGCAACGACCGTGAATTGTTTTTCACACTCTCTCTTAGCCACTGTCCTTGAAGAAACCCTCAGGTCCCCCATTGTGATACTTCCCATGGGTCTGCAAATACAGGAGAATCATGCCTCCTGTATTGACAACAGCACAGTGCAAAAATGCTGGGCTATGGATGGCATTATGGGATGGAGAAAATTGACGGCTAGGAACTTGAACTCTAGCTCCCAGAGATCCCTGAGTGAGTCATTTCCATCCCACAACATATTGTGAACGTTTCCCGAAAGGCATCGTGCCGGACTGCAGCTCACGGCACACTGAGATACCTACCCATGGTGCACCACACTTTGCATTGCCACGAGCACTCCTGGTGAGTACACCCAGTACCAACACAAGCAGCTAAGTGTGCACGTGCCCAAGCAATATACCGACTTCGGCAGCTGTACGCCGACATGACTTTGTTGAGCAGTTTGTAGTGTAGACATGGCCTTAGTGTGCCCAGCCCAAAGTGTTGTGGAAATTCTTCCAGGGTGTCTCCATGCTGTGGCCTGTAGGGGGCAGAAGGAAGGCTGGGGGCTGGAGGGGGGCTGGGGATCACCCACTCAGTGTCACAGTTCACCCTTGACACCGCTCAACCTCTCTGAACAGAGCCCCTCCAGTTGTCAGTTCTGAGCCTTCCCCTTTCCAGGCTGGAATCCTGTGATTCTTTCACCCCGTAGACCCCGTTCGCAGGGGGACAGCCCCCTTTACCAACCGCGAGTGCTCAGCACGCCACACTGGGTTCTGCTGCCCGGCAAGTCTTCCAGTTGGGAGCCAAAACAGCCTCCAAAACACAGGATCTTTTTAATCTGCATCGTAGAACTCAAAGCCTCGCCAGAGCACAGGGTAGTGTCTGCATGTGTCTGCTGCCCCCCTGATTGGGCTCTGCCTCTGTCCCCAGCTCCTGGACACCTGGGAGGCCTTCGTGTACCAGCAGCAGGAGGCCTCGGACTTCATTGTCTCACGGCGCCTCAGCATCATTGCTGAGCTGGTAGACTCGCTGCAGAGAGCCAGACAGGAGCTGCAGGACTTGCTGACCACGGCCACCACAGGGCAGTTCCTGGACCCCTCCCAGAGCCCGCGTGCAATGGAGCAAGAGCTGCGAGAGCTGTACCGCCGCTTCCAGGCCATGGCCACCCGGGTGGCTGAGCTGTGCCGCTCCCAGAGGATCCTCACAGGCATGAGAGCAACGGGGCCCCGGCCTGCATCTGCTGGGGAGACAGAACCCCAGGGCTCCCTACTTGTCCCTGTTACTTCCCTCGCATCCCCAGGGAAATGCCCCCGTGACTCCCCTCACCTCCCTGTGTCCCAGGGGACTCTGCACTCAGGTCTCCTCCAACCTAGGAGAGAGAGCCTGCAATCAGCAGCGTAGCTAGTGGGGTGCAGGGGAAGCAGCCGCTTCCCCTCAGCATGTTTTCAAAAAGCAGGTTGGCCCGCAGCCGCGGCCGGAGGAGCGAGGGGGGCGCAGCAGGTCGGCCCGCAGCCGCGGCCGGAGGAGCGAGGGGGGGCGCAGCAGGGCGGCCAGCAGCCGCGGCCGGAGGAGCGAGGGGGGGCGCAGCGGGCGGCGTGCAGCCAATGGGCCGGGGCGGCGGGCGTGGCCGGAGGAGGCAGAGCGAGGGGGGGCGCAGCAAGGCGGCCCGCAGCCATGGCCGGAGGAGCAAGGGAGGGCGCAGCTGGAGGAGCCAGCCAAGGGAGGCGTGGCCAAAGGAGGAGCCAAGGGGGGGCGCCTTTTTTATGTTTGCTCCCCGTCCTCTTAGATTCTGGCTAGGCCACTGCCTGCAATGCGAACAGCAGCGGGAGTGCTGGGTCACCCTGTGCTGCTGCCTGGCTGGGGTGTGGGCGAGACTCCTCCCGAGTGAACGTCCTGTCCTTCCTCTTCCCAGGGGAGCGGACAGACGTCTCCTTTGTAGCCAGGAGCCGGGGGCTCATTGAAGCCCATGAGCACATCTGGAGGCTGCTACGCACCATCTCCGAGCAGATCACTGAATGGAGGTGCCTCGCCTTCAGCAAGGTAATGACCGGTGCCTGCCCCACAGCTAGCGCAGCCCTGGGCTCCCTCCTCCCAACCCACAGCCCCTGCTAGCCCGGCCTGTGCCCCTCCCTCCCGACCTGCAGCCCCTGCTAGCCCAGCCCTGGGCTCCCTCCCTCCCAACCCGCAGCACCTGCTAGCCCAGCCCTGCCCCCCCCAGCCCTGCCGGTGCCCTTCCGACCCCGCAGCCCCTGCTAGCCCAGCCCTGGGCTCCCTCCCTCCCGACCCCACAGCCCCTGCTAGCCCAGCCCTGGGCCCTCCCTCCCGACCCGCAGCCCCTGCTACCCCAGCCCTGGGCTCCCCCACAGCTCTGCTGGTGCCCCTCACTCCTGGCCCACAGCTATTCCAGCCGTGAGCTCCGCCCACCCCAGCTCTGCCGGTGCCCCCAATCCTGACCTACAATCTCCCTTGTTATCCCAAACTTGGCCTCCTCCCACATATTCACAGCTCTGCTGATTCCCACCTGCAGCCGCCCCTGCTATTCCATAGGGCTCTCCTGAGTGTGGATGGTTTTGCCTGAGGGATGCACCTCCCTCCAGGGCTATCTGAGCACCCGCTGGTCTTTCTGTCCTACCAGTTCAACATCCCCCTGGCCACGGAGAAGATGGCTGAGTGGCAGAGGGAAGCGTCCCACATGGAAAAGTCCCTGCCTGCCAATCACCCCATCCTGCAGGCCTGTGTGCACATGATCACTAGTTTCCAGCAGTTTCTGCCCCTGCTTGAGAAGCTGGCCAGCCCACTCATGAAGAGTAGCTGCTGGAGGGAGTTCTTCACGGGTGAGCCCTGCAGGGAGCGATGGGAGGGGAAATCCATAGCGGAGGGGGGACAGTTCTGTGGAGACTCGTATCCCTGGGGCCCTGCATTCGGCTCCAGCACCTTCAGGCCCAGAAAGGCCTTGAGAAAGTGGAGGAAGCTCCAGGCAGCCCCAGCAGGGCTGGAGAGGCAGAGCTCTGGGAGAAATGGAAGGAGCCATATCTGCCATGCTGGCTCTGAGAGGGGCGAGGGACGATCAGTCTGGGGAGAGCTCCTGGGGTTTATGGTACAGTAACCTGGACACCAGGGAAGTTGGTTCAAGCATGGCCCAGCAAGTGACAGGGTCTGTCCTGCTGGAGCAGCATCAGTGCCCAGAGCATGGCTTCATGCACCAGAGCTTGGCAGGCAAAGGCGACCCAATGGCAGGTCTGGGGGGCATAGGGACCTGGGCTGATGTAAAAGACTGTTGGCTCTTTGCCTCAGTTCTGCACGACATGCTGATTACAAATTGGCACTATACCAAATCAGTGTGGCCCAAATGGATTAAAAGTTGGCTACCGGAGAGAGCCCAGAAGGTAATCAGGAATGGGGACGCATTGTCTCATGATGATGAGAAGGATGGTCCAGTGGTCAGGGCACCAGCCAAAGACTTGGGGTCAGTTCCCTACTCTGCCATGGATTTTTGTGTGACCTTGGGCAAGTCACTTAGCTTCTCTGGGTCTTGGTCCCATCTGTACAGTGGGGATAGCCCTGCCCTGCCCCCTCCCCCAGGGTGGGGTGAGGTAAAGTGCTTTGAGATGGATTGATGAAAAGTGCTGTGTCAGAGCTGGGGCATTGATATGTCGGGGAGGGGGTGACGTTCTGAGTGTGATATAATATCTCATTGGAAGGTGACAGGGCCAGAAAGAGTTAATTAACTCACCGACTGACCTGACCCATGGCCGAACTTTAGAGACTGGTTAGGAAGAACTGTAAATGAACAGAGCTTTGAAATGCAGCCGGCATTGTTAGAGGTAGAAGGGGAGGTGTTTGCTCAGGGCTTGTGATGTAAGCAAACAAGTCTTGTCTATTGCTATAGCTTTAATTCAAAGATCAAAAAAGGAATATTAACATTTAGGATGAAACTTGAGTGAAATAGTATTATTGTCTATATGTCTCTTTGAAGGTTGTGGTAACCTGTATCTGAACTGTTTAATGGATAAATTACCCTGCGCTAATTGCCAGGATGTTTAGGAGAAGGAGAGTTAAGCCTAATGTTTTCTCAGGGCAAAAGGCTGCTGGAAATGTATAAGAACCCTGGGACATGATCCTACTTCATCTCAGATCTGCTTTGGGTTTCAAGAGGGGGAAACCTTAAGCCATAAGGATTGAGATCCCCAGTCACTGACTGGAGTCACCCTGAACATGGACGTTGGACTATAACCTATGGACTATTTCTAAAAGGACTTTTGGCAACTACAAGCTCATCTCTGCTATGTATCTGAACCTCAAGAATTGAATTCAAGTCTGTATGTATATTGATCTTTTAACCAACACTTGTGGAGTGAGCCATGGAGCAGCTCCCCCAGGGATGGGGCAGGTTCCCCATCGCTGGGATTTGGAGAGTCTCTTTCTAAAAGCCTGGCTCTGGCTCAGCCGTTAGGTACGCGCTGGACACAAGAGTCAGGAGCTAATGGTCCCTTCAGGCCTTGAAATCTATGAAGACGTCTGGGGCCTGGGACCCCCAGCTTTGCCTGTACCTGCTGGAGCCCAGGACTCCCTGCAGCCTCTGCGAGAGGATCTGGGCACTGGGGTGCTGACAGTAACCCCTTGTGTTCTCTTGCAGCAATGGGAGTGAAGTGCCCTGTCAACCTGCAGTTCACGCTGGGCCAGCTGCTGTCCTACCCGCTTCTGGAACACAGCGACACCATCCTCAAGGTGAGCGGGGCCCATGCTGCCTGGGGACAGACGGGGGCTTGGTGGGGCCCAAACGGCTATGGGGGGGATGCTGGCACCCATCACTGCGGGACTGGAGCCATGGGCAGGCTCAGTGTGCAGTTTGACTCTCGGTGGTGGGAGGTCAGGATCAGAGACAGCCTGGGTTCGACATGGGCAGGTTGGGCTCCATATGGGCGCCCCAGCCCAGAAGCTCTATGGAGAGTAATTCCATGCTCTAATAATAAGAATAACGCAGTAGGGATATATTACCAACCTGCTGACCAGGATGGCAATAGTGACTGTGAAATGCTCAGGGAGATTAGAGAGGCTATAAAAATAAAAAACTCAATAATAATGGGGGATTTCAACTATCCCCATACTGACTGGGTACATGTCACCTCAGCACGGGATGCAGAGATAAAGTTTCTTGACACCTTAAATGACTGCTTCTTGGAGCAGCTGGTCCTGGAACCCACCAGAGGAGAGGGAATTCTTGATTTAGTCCTAAGTGGAGCACAGGATCTGGTCCAAGAGGTGAATATAGCTGGACTGCTTGGTAATAGTGACCATAATATAATGAAATTTAACATCCCTGTGGCAGGTAAAACACCACAGCAGCTCAACACTGTAGCATTTAATTTCAGAAAGGGGAACTACACAAAAATGAGCAGGTTAATTAAAGAGAAATTAAAAGGTACAGCGCCAAACGTGAAATCCCTGCAAGCTGCATGGAAACCTTTTAAAGACACCATAATAGAGGCTCAGCTTAAATGTATCCCCCAAATTAAAAAGCACAGTAAAAGAACCCAAAAAGTTCCACCATGGCTAAACAACAAAGTAAAAAGAAGCAGTGAGAGACAAAAAGGATTCTTTGAAAAGTGGAAGTTAAATCCTAGTGAGGAAAATAGAAAGGAGCATAAACTCTGGCAAATGAAGTGTAAAAATAATTAGGACGGCCAAAAAAGAATGTAAAGAACAACTAGCCAAAGACTCAAAAAGTAACAGCAAAATGTTTTTTAAGTACATCAGAATCAGGAAGCTACTAAACAACCAGTGGGGCCCCTGAACGATCAAGATGGTAAACAGCATCCTGTGGCACCTTATAGACTAACAGATGTATTGGAGCATAAGCTTTCGTGGGTGAATACCCGCTTCGTCAGACGCACGAAAGCTTATGCTCCAATATGTCTGTTAGTCTATAAGGTGCCACAGGACTCTCTGTTGCTGTTTACAGATCCAGACTAACACGACTACCACTCTGATACAAGATGGTAAAGGAGCACTCAAGGACGATAAGGCCATTGCGGAGAAACTAAATGAATTCTTTGCATCGGTCTTCACGGCTGAGGATGTGAGGGAGATTCTCAAACCTGAGCCGTCCTTTTTAGGTGACAAATCTGCGGATCTGTCCCAGATTGAAGTGTTATTAGAGGAGGTTTTGGAACAAATTGATAAACTAAACAGTAATAAGTCACCAGGACCAGATGGGATTCACCCAAGAGTTCTGAAGGAACTCAAATGTGAAATTGCAGAACTACTAACTGTGGTAGGTAACCTATTGCTTAAATCAGCTTCTGCACCAAATGACTGGAGGATAGCTAACGTGATGCCAATTTTTAAAAAGGGCTCCAGAAGTGATCCGGCAATTACAGGCCAGTAAGTCTGACTTTAGTACTGGGCAAACTGGTTGAAACTATAGTAAAGAACAGAATTGTCACATATAGGTGAACATAATTTGTTGGGGAAAAGTCAACATGGTTTTTGTAAAGGGAAATCATGACTCACCAATCTACTAGAATTCTTTGAGGGGAAAACAAGCATGTGGACAAGGGGGATCCAGTGGATATAGTGTACTTAGATTTTCAGAAAGCCTTTGACAAGGTCCCTCACCAAAGGCTCTTAAGCAAAGTAAGCTGTCATGAGATAAGAGGGAAGGTTCTCTCATGGATTGGTAACTGGTTAAAAGACAGGAAACAGAGGGTAGGAATAAATGGTCAGTTCTTCTTCGAGTGCTTGCTCATATCGATTCCAATTAGGTGTGCGCGTGTTGCGTGCACATCTAATTGGAATGGATATGAGCAACACATCTCGAAGAACAACAGTTACAAAGGTGAGTAACTGTCTTTTTTCAGAATGGAGAGAGGTAAATAGTGGTGTCCCCCAGGGGTCTGTACGGGGACCAGTCTTGTTCAACATATTCATAAATATGGTGTCTGTCTCTGCCTGGGTCCTTGCCCTTGACCAGAAGGATCAGTGAGAACACCACCTGCACCCAGACCCCTGTAGTCACTCCTGATCTGCTCAGGGTCAGACCTCACAGTATCGTTAGTGCCCACGTGGAGGAGCAGCATGGGGTAGTAGTCACAGGGCCGGATGATCCTCGACAATCCCTCCGTCTCAGATCCCTTTCGGGATGCCATGTCAGGCCTGCAGACAAATGCGTCTGTTCCCCTTAGAAGGGAGTCACCGACCACCCCCACCCTCCGTTTCCTCTTGGGGGGGTGGCCACAATCCTTGCAGCCGTGGGGGTACATGGCTTCTCCTCCACCACCTTTGGGGGCAATTCCTCATCCCCCATTGCCAGGGCAGCATACTGGTTTGTTATCTGTGTGGAGGGGGTTGGGAGCACTGCCTGCTGCCACAAGTAGCCAGCAGCCAGCTTCCTCCGTGTGCAGGCGCCGTTTCCTCCTGCCCTGGTGGCACTCCTACAGTGCTCTCCAGCCAAATTGCTTCCTCAGCCTTGGAGGGCCCTATATGCACGTTTTCAATTAATTCCTCGTGGGCACCGATGCTCCTCAGCCTAGCCACCTCCTCCTGCAGCTCTCCCGCCCCTTCCTGAGAGATTCCATCAGCAGGCACTTCTCACACTGGACGGTCCCCCCAGCCTGGCTTTCTGTGATGGGGAAACGCAGGGCATTCTCTGCAGATCCCCCCTGGGGTCTGGGCAGAGGCATCCATGGGCAGGTTCCCTAGCTCGACACAGGCGTTGGTGGAGGAGACAGGAGCAGTGTTAGCTTTGGTGACGTGGCCTTTTTGAACCATGGTGATCTTGCTCTTTCTCCCTCCTATAGACTCCCTCTCCGATTCCCCTGTTTGCTGCCTGCTGGTTGCTTAGCCTCTGTCTTTTAAGCCCTTCTCTCTTAGGTCAGCCCTGCCCCCCTCTTAACACCTGGGGGAAGGGCGTTGGAGGATCAAAGGACAAGAGACTGGAGCCTTGCTAGTGCCCACTCAGCTAGCAGCTAGTCGGCCCCTGGCCCCCACTCCCACACAGTCCCCAAATACCTAGTCCCCAACAGACCATGCTGCGAGCTTTAAGCAAGCCACAAACAAGATCACTCACCCCAAAAATGAGTGCTCGCATCTTCTTCAGCAGAGGCTCTCCCTCTCGCCCTCTCAAACTGCCCTGTCTGTTAGGCCAATTCAGATTAGAAACAAGGTGTGTGTTTCTAACCGTGAGGGTAACTAGCCACTGGAGCAGCTTACCAAGGGTCGCGGTGGAGTCTCCATCCCTGGCCATTGGATGTTTCCCTGAAAGCTCTGCTCTAGGATTGATTTTGGGGAAGATCTGCAGGCTGCTATACAGGAGGTCAGATTAGATGGTGACAATGGTCCCTTCTGGCGTTGGACTCCAGGGGTAGGTCTACACTGCAATGTAAGCCCTGGGTTACTGGAACTTGAGTTAGCAGCCCTGGGTTTGTTGACCTAGGGCTTGGGCGTCTACTCTCATTGGCAACTCCAGGTTAGGAGCTGTTGAACCCAGGGGCTCCAGCGTCCATGCTGCATCACGGGGGCCTGATTCCTGGCACCCTTCCAAAAGGCAGCTGCTCCAGCCTTTATTCATGGTGCAGTGTAGGGAAACTTGGCTGTCCAGAGGACAAAGAAAGTCAGCCCATGGGATTGTGGGATACTTTTGGCAGACTCCCAGAGCCTGAGTCTAGTGGGGGTATGTCTACATGGCAGAGCAATAGGGTTTGAGCCCTGGGTCCTAGCTTGACTCAGGCTTGAACTTGCCACCCCATTGGGTCCTGGGATACCTCAGAAATCAAAGTAAATTTTCAGTCTGAGTTGTATAAACTAGACAGGATTTGAATCAAGCAGTGTCTCACCCTGAGGGGTGGTACAAAGAGGTCACAGATCTTCGATACACAGGCTGGGACTGCCTTCCTGCCCGGGACCACCCTCGCCGGTTCAGTCTTTGTCCTCCAGAGGTGTTGTCAGGTGTTGAGTTGGGGTGAGGGAGTGAGGCCCAGTCATGATGCCACTTTATAATTTCCAGCTTGCTGGAAAGATCTTTTGCTCTGACGTGGGTCAAGCCATTGTCTACGAGCTCTCTCTGAGAGAGAGAGAGCTTTTACTGAAAACCACTCAGCAGGTACTCCTGTCTCCAGCACCCAGACACCCAGCTCCCAATGGGATCCAAACCCCAAATAAATCTGTTTTACTCTGTATAAAGTTTGTACAGGGTAAACTCATAAATTGTCTGCCGTCTATAACACTGATAGAGAGAGATGCACAGCTGTTTGCTCCCCCAGGTATTAATTACAAGCTCTGGGTTCAGTAATAAACAAAAGTGATTTTATTAAGAATAAAAAGTAGGATTTAAGTGGTTCCAAGTAATAACAGATAGAACAAAGTAAGTCACCAAGTAAAATAAAGCAAAAACATGCAAGTCTAAGCCTAATACATTAAGAAACTGAATACAGGTAAATCTCACCCTCAGAGATGTTCCAATAAATTTCTTTCACAGATTAGGCTCCTTCTTAATCTGGGCACAATCCTTTCCCCTGGTACAGTTCTTGTTAGTTCCAGCTCAGGTGGTAGCTAGGGGATTTCTCATGAGTGCAGCCCCTTATGTTCTGTTCCACCCCCTTTTATACCTTTGTCACAAGGCGGGAATCCTTTGTCTCTCTCTGGGTTCCCACGCTTCCTTCTAAATGGAAAAGCACCAGGTTTAAGATGGATCCCGGTAGCAGTTGACATGCTCACATGTCCTGTGAGACCCCAAGCCTCCATTCTTTCCGGCCCGACTCACATGAACACAGGAAAGCTTAAAAGTAAACAGAGCCATTTTTCTAGCTTCAGATACAAGAATGATAAATTCATGCAAATAGGATTAACACACTCAGTAGATTATAAGCTTTGTAATGATACTTTACAGGAGACCTTTTGCATAAAGTATATTCCAGTTACATTATATTCACATTCCAAGCATATTTTCATAAAACATATGGAGTGCAACGTCACATCCATTGTCTACGAGCTCTCTCCAAGCGGTCTCCCTTGTCTGCGAGCTCTCTCTGAGAGGTCTCCATTGTATACTGTTCCTGAGACAGTGGATTCTTTCCTTGATGGGCCATCAGCATGTTTGGCTCCTCCATTTTTGTACCTGAAAGGCTGGTTGTGGGTGTTCCCAACCTCACAACATATTTCAGTAACACACTGTCACAGAGTGTGGGGGAGTCAGGGCCCCGCACCCCCCACTTCCTGCGATTCACCGTGACTCTCAGCCAGTAAAACAGAAGGTTTATTAGATGACAGGAACACAGTCCCAAGCAGGGCTTGTAGGTACAACCAGGACCCCTCAGCCAGGTCCCTCTGGGGGGCAAGGATCTTAGACCCCAGACTTGGGGTTCCCTGCCTCTCCCAGCCAGCCCAAGACTGAAACCAAAAAACCCCTCCCGCAGGCTCTCTTCCCTCCTTCCCTCCCCCTCTCCCTTTGTCCAGTTTCCCGGGCCAAGGTGTTGACTCGCCCCACCCCCCTTCCTGGCTCAGGTTACAGGCTCAGGTACCGTCCCTCACCTAAAGTCATCCCCTGCTCTCCTCTAAAGTCATCCCCTGCTCGCCCATCCCCCATGCAGACAGTCCAGTAAAACTAACTGACATTCCCAGGTCAATCCACCCCGCTCCCTACTGCGTCACACACACACATAGCAAAACTTCATAACTTTCCATACAGTGACAGCACATACAATCCGACAGGACATTAATATTCAACAGATCAAGACTTTTAAAATGATACCTCACAAGGCATCCTTTGTACCAAGCAACCACGCACCGCACCATAACAACTCTAACTCAGGAACCAACCCATGCAACAAACCTCGATGCCAACTCTGCCCACATATCTACACCAGCAGCACTATCACAGGACCTAACCAGATCAGCTACAACATCACCGGCTCATTCACCTGCACGTCCACCAACGTTATATATGCCATCATGTGCCAGCAATGCCCCTCTGCTATGTACATTGGCCAAACTGGACAGTCACTACGCAAGAGGATAAATGGACACAAGTCAGATATTAGGAATGGCAATATACAAAAACCTGTAGGAGAGCACTTTAACCTCCCTGGCCACACAATAGCAGATGTTAAGGTAGCCATCTTACAGCAAAAAAACTTCAGGACCAGACTCCAAAGAGAAACTGCTGAGCTCCAGTTCATTTGCAAATTTGACACCATCAGATCAGGATTAAACAAAGACTGTGAATGGCTATCCAACTACAGAAGCAGTTTCTCCTCCCTTGGCGTTCACACCTCAACTGCTAGCAGAGCACCTCACCCTCCCTGATTGAACTAACCTCGTTATCTCCACACTGATTTATACCCGCCTCTGGAGATTTCCATTACTTGCATCTGAGGCCTTGGCTACACTTGCAAGTTACAGCGCTGTAAAGTCTCCCCCAGCGCTGTAACTCACTCCCCGTCCACACTGGCAGGGCACTTACAGCGCTGTATCTCCCTGGGTACACCGCTGCAGGTACTCCACATCTCCGAGAGGAATAACAGCTGCAGCGGAGTGGCTACGACTCATGGGTGTGAGTGTAAACGCTTGCAGCGCTGTACTAATCACCTTGTCAAGTGGCCAATCCTCTCCATTGTTGTGACCGGCTGCAGGAAGTGCCGCTTTCAAAGCTCGTACCACAGAGAAAAGTAAACAGATTGCAGCTTGCTTTGAGTGAGTGAATGAATGAGCAGGGGGCCGGGAGTTCGGAACTTGCAAAATAGAGAGCTGACATGCTCCAAAAAGCACTCTCTCTCCCCCCACACTCCCTGTCACAATCCACCCCACCCCCGTTTTGAAAAGCACGTTGCAGCCACATGAATGCTGGGATAGCTGCCCATAATGCACCGCTCCCAGCACAGCTGCAAATGTTACAAGTGTGGCCACACCACTGCACTGGCAGCTGTCAGTGTGGACAGACTGCAGCGCTTTTCCCTACTCAGCTGCACGAAGACAGGTTTACCTCACAGCGCTGTACAGCTGCAAGTGTAGCCAAGGCCTGAAGAAGTGAGGTTCTTACCCACAAAAGCTTATGCTCCCAATACTTCTGTTAGTCTTAAAGGTGCCACAGGACCCTCTGTTGCTTTGTACCAAGCGTACTTGAACTATATGACAGGGGTGAATATAGGGGGATTTGAGGGAGCTGCTTTGAGGTACAGAGTCCCACAGGGGGTATGGAGGAATGTTCGGGGGGAGGAGGGGCGAGCGGCGACCCCTGGCAGCTCGGGCCAACTCTGCACAGCGAGGATCAGGGAGGAACACCACCTCCACCCCCGACTCACAGCAGCAGGCGACCCAGCGTGTGGGTCAGTGTCAACATCTGCTCCTGGCAGCCTCCCTGCCCAGCACTGGCTCTGCCCCCAGAGACTGCCTTCCCTCACCCTGAAAAGCTGAGGGGGGAGGGGCGGGTATTGTGTCTATTTTTGTCTGGGGTATGGGGGCGCAACCAAAAAGTGTAAATCAAAGGGGGCTCAGCTCAAAAGCTTTGAAAACAGCTGGACTAGCTGGAAAGGCTCCAACCCGTGGCGGCACTGCCCTGTGCAGCGGGGCCGCCTGACTCTCACGGAGCAGCTGCCAGCCTGAACGCGCACGGCCTGCTCCTGCTGCTCCCACTCAGCCTGTGTTTGATGCCCCCAGATCTGGTCAAGTGAGCGAGGCCGTTGCCGCTCCCTGGACATCCTGCGCCGGCTGCAGAAGGCCTGGGCTGAGAGGCAGTTCCGTTTGGTCAACTTCATCCTGAGCGTGCCCTACCAGGCCCCACTGCCCGACCGTGCCCGCCGGCCGCCCAGCAGGCGCTACCGCCCACCCAAGCAGGAGTACGTCTCCAAGGACAGCGGCACCTTCGTGCTGGCTGGTGAGTGCTGCATGAGGGGGGGCCCAGATTGGCCAGTGGGGTGTATCAGAGATTCACGGGTCTGGGCTATGCCCCAGCCTGTAACCAGTCCCTTGGGAGCGACCCCTTTAGTGTGCTGGGCCGCAAAGAGCCACACAGGGCAGGCCTGCAGCCGCCAAGACTCTGAGACTTGGCCTTTGGGCACCAGCAAACCTGCCTCTCCCCATGGCTCCCTGCAGTGACTCCAGCCCAGCCAGGTGCCTGTGGGAGGCTGGTACAGGCCCTGTCAGAGCACCAAGCTCTCAGGGAGCCTTTGCAAACAAGGTAACGTTTTATTAGTCACCTGGCTACAGAATCCAAAAGTCCTTGGCTAGCTCAGAGAGGCAAAGGTGAAGCCACATCCACCCTGGCCAAGCCAGTGCAAAACACCAGCCAAGTGTCTGTCTGTGTCCTGACCCAGTCCCAGGGGAGAGCAGCCAGCTTCTTCAGAAACCCCTGCTGGCCATCTCCAGTCCTTTGCCTCCAGGCAGGGCGTGTGGAGTTCACAATCCCACCTGCCAGAGCTCCCCACTGCTGAGTGTCGGGCGTTCCGTTGTTGGGACTTCCGAATGTCTCTCTGGGCCTGTGTTAATCTGGGTCGGTTTCAACCAGCTCCTTAACTACCCTGTTTATTCCATCCAGGCAGCACCACGTCCCCCAGGGGTAGCAATGCAAAGTACAGAGGAAACTGAAGCACGTGTAGGAATAATGAAAATATTACCCCAAATTCCCACTTTGTCACAGGCTGCACAGGGGCGGGGGGAAGGTGGGTCTGAGCAGAGCTGGGACCAGAGCCAGCACTCTCCCTCCCAGGGAGACATGGGGTGGCTGTTGTCCTCTGATTACCTGCTCCTTTCAGACCATGAGACTAGCCAGACCATGGACTCCGCTCTGTCCAGTGCAGCCACCCAGAGTTCCCAGGAGTCTCTCCAGGGAGTGTAGGACTTGAGCTGCTGTGGCTCTGGCTGGTTCCCATCCTCACTGAAAGTTTCAGGCTCCAGGTTTGGGAGAAACTCACCTGTCCCACCCACTGTTCCAGAGTCCAGGGCTGGGGCAGCAGCGCCCCAGGAGTGTCCAAAGCTCAGAGCGTCTCCATCACCAAGGTACAGGGCTTATGCTGGGCCAATGCCCCCGTGCATGCACCTGTGTGCGAGGCCTCAGCCCCGGCTCCAGCACCTCTTTGGGCCCCTCAGGGTTGCCAGAGTCTTCACCTCTTCTCTCCCTGAATCCAGACACAGCAGAACTCAAGGCCCTGACGGAGAAAAGCCTGCTAACCTTGAAGAACATCATCCTCTCACCCCACGCCATGGAGCTCCGGGAGGAGGCAGAGAGCTGGACCAGTACCTTGCGTGGATTTGGTGCGGGCCTGGGGGTGTGAAGGGGAATCCTTGGCTGGAAGCTGGGAGTGGGCGACAGGGATGGGTCACTTGATGATTCCCTGTTCTGGTCATTCCCTCTGGGGCACTTGGCACTGGTTTGGCGGGGGGGTGTGGGTGGGGGGATGTGACAGGTTGATTTCTACCCGGGTGTTCCCCTTTCTTACAGCTGTTTTGCCTGGTGGTGGCTTCTGCTTTCATGGTGTGCCGGCACTGCAATCTGAGCCTGGGCTCTGTGGGAACTGGTGTTTGTAGGCCTGGGATTGAGCGTCCACACTGAATCCTGACCCTAGGGTTAGAATTTCTGGATCTGGGACTCGTACCCATGCTCACATGTCCACACTGCACTACGCAGAGATGAGTCCAACCAGCTTCTCCCAGGCTTCCTTGTGCCCTCCCCAGCTGTAGCCTCTGTAGCCTTGTTTGAGGTGACTGTCCATCCCACGGCACTGGATAGGAAGTTCTTGCAGCCCACAGCTTGCCCTCCTCGCAGGGCACTACTCCATTGTTATGCAGGCCCTTTTGGGCCACAGAAGCCGATTTATGGACACCAGTGTGGCCTGCACTGGAAAAGTTCATGATGCCAGGGCTTTCCACTGATCAGGGGTCTACATTCATGGACGCTATTCCCACCAAATGATACCAAATGACATAATGGGAGTTACTGTCCCCACTGTTATTCTAGGGGACCCTGCATACCCCCTTTTGTCTTGGCTTATGAACCCATCTCCTGCTCTCCGAGGGCCTGGCGTGGGTGTAGAGGGGTGGTGAATGTGCGATTGGCAGATTGAAATCTTGCTGGCGCTGTTTACAGAGCTGTTTCAATCCCAGTGTGATTAATGCTGACCGCATCACTGTGTCGTGCTGTGCCCGTCACAATCTTTGTGAATCCAAAGGTGGGCCGTTTGCCCCAGGTGGCTGAACCGGTACACTCAGCCAGCAAGTGCACCTGTCACAGCTACAGCAGGATGCACCTGGGAACGGAAACCAGAGACGCTTTGTGTGTCCACACTCTGGACTTGCACGGACCAGCAGAGCAGGGAGAATAGGATATTTGTAGAGCAATTTTTACAGTAAATGAAGTTTTTCAAGTGATTGCCATGTCCATTCTACTTCAGCTGTGTGCACACCCAGTGCACCAGCGTCAGAGATTTCCTAAGTGATATGTGTCGGGGCAGCGTATGCTCGTGCTGCTGCTGCTTGTGGTCTAAAGGGCAGAGCCATCCCCGCCCTCCCTCAGTTCCTTCTTACCATCTGTGATGGCTGTCAGAGCGTGCTACTGCAAGTGTTTCCGTCTTTCTTAGTCTTGTGTAGTTTACATAGTTGGTATTTGTTAGCAGTCTTAGTGGAGCGTTTTAGCAGTAAGGTTCCTTTTTCTTTTACTAGTGTACTTCCTTTGTGCTTCATTTCCCGCTGATTCTGGGTACCGATGCCCAGTGCTGCGGCACGCCTTGGTTCATGGGCTTCAAACCTTGCAATGGATGCAAGAAGCCAATACCAGTCAGTGACCCCCACTCCAGGTGCTTGAAGTGCCTAGGAGAAGCTCACATCAGCGACGATTGCCAGATTTGCAGGGACTTTAAGCCCAGAACCTGAAAGGACCAGGAGGTCAGATTTGAGGACTTTAGTAACTCAGATAGAGGTTATGGGCCTACTGCAGAAGTGGACAGGTGAAATTCTCTGGCCTGTGATGTGCAGGAGGTCAGACTTGATGATCATGATAGTCCCTTCTGGCCTTAGTGATCTGTGAGTCAGGCTAAAGCCCCTCCTTATGGACGCAGCCCTGCACCCAGCCTTGCAACCTTCCTGCTCAGGGCAGTCACCGACCACCGCCACTTGCATTAGGAACGCTCCTCCTGTTGGGGCAGAGTTTCGACGCTGATCTCTGATACCAAAGAAGAAACACTGGAAGATGGCCCAGTGGGGGCCCATCATCCAGGAGCTCGAGATCCCAGGCACCACTGTCCAGCAATCAAGCTGGGAAGCAGAGTACAGTGCGCTTGGTGCCAAGGCGCTGCCTGGTGCACAATGAGCCTCAGGAGGGGTTGTCGACTGGTACCAGTGCCACTGAACGCCATCCTGTTCCACTGTGCCGTCCTCTTTGGCTCAGTGAAGCAAGAGACTCCCGGGGCTGTCATGTAGTAATAACATTTTATGTTTGTATTTTGTATAATTTAAATTAAAAAATAATAAAATAATAATGTTGCATGTATT